TCAACAGCTTCTGTGGTGGGGATGCAAGTAGAAAGGGAGGTGACATCATATGATACTAGAGTTTCATCTGAGTCTAGTTTTAAATCCTTTACCTTGTTGGCAAAGTCCTGTGAGTTTCTTATGTGATGAGGAGTTCTTCCAACCAGCAGAGCTAAAGTAGAGGCTAAGTACTTGGCAATCTTGTAAGTGACTGAGTAAATGCTGCTGCTGATGGGTCTGAGCGGAGCTCCTTCTTTGTGTATCTTCGGGAGACCATAGATGCAAGGAATGGTTACAAACGGTAATATAGGTTACGGTCAATTACTTGGTCCTTTTCTAATTGTTGTAAACAGTTAATTGCCTTTGTCTTGTATTTGTTGGTGGGATCTTGTTTCAGTGGTTGTGTCACTCAGAAGGCTTGTCATCTTGGCATGGTAGTCAGCTGTATTCAGTACCACTGTGCATCTTTGTCTGCCGGCAAGATAGTGATGTTCTGGTCTCTCTGAAGTGCTGCCAATGCCTTTCTTTCCTGAATGGTGAGGTTTGAAGGCAGTGCTTTGGCACTAGTAAGAGCAGCTGATCCCTTAAGCCGAAGTTGTTCGGCCTCTGACTCTGTCAACTTGTTGCTCCTGATGGCAGATTCTGTGGCCGTGATGAGGTCTATTGCTGGGATTTCTTCCGGTGTTCCTGCAAAGTTAAGTCCCTTTGCTAAAACGTCTTTTTTTGGTTGTGTGTGATCTCTCTCTGAAAGATTTTTCACCCACTTCTCCTGAAAGTCTAGTTGTGTTGTATTGTCATCATCAGGGGTAGACTGATGGTGGCGCTGGTCATGGCGACACGCAGCAGTGTGTGAGACGTGTGCTGACATGGCTGTTCTTAATGTGTTTTTAGTGTTTTTCTATCACTTATTTTAACTGACTTTTTTAAGTGTTCTTGGGGGATAATGGCGGCAGGGACTCACCCAAGTTTGGTGGAAATCCTCTTGCTTTCTGCACTTTTATGCCAGTTTTTATGTGACGACTCGTGATCAGTGACAGTGCGGGTGGACCCAAACGAAAAGGGAGACGGGG